GAAAGGAAAGAAGGGAATGGAATTAATATGAGAAAAGGAAAAAATGGAAACAGAGTCTTTGTAAATAGGGAAGGATGGAGGGGTTGAAGGGAGGGCAGGGGAATGGGGAAAAAATAACCAAGAGGGCTTGGGATTTAGCTTAGTGGTTCCGCCACCTGGCTCCCAAGTGCAAGGTCCTGATCCCTGATACCAAAAAAAAAGAACAAAGATATATTTATTATGTAAAGGTACACATTTCCAATGATGAATGTCATTATATTGTATACCTAAAATGTACCAATAAAATTAATTTTTTAAAAAAAGAAGAAGGTAGCAAAAGCAACAAGGGAACCTTACCAGCTCTTCCCGCCCCTTTTATCTTATTCAGATTATTTAGGGCAGGTAGGACTCATCCCCTTAACCGTAGTGCCCTCCATCCTAGTCCTACCATGAGTCAGTCACACAGTCTAGATTTAACCACCTCTGGAAAAGCATGAGGCTTTGGGGGGGACATCTAACACAAGCCGTAATAGAACCCCTGCTCTGTCTGGTTGGCCAGTGTTCTTGGGAGTCACAGGTCAAGATGTTTGATGTTGAAGACACCCATGTTCAGCTTAGTTGTAGAAAATTCCCATTCTGGACACTGGAGGTGCTGACTTTTTGTTCTCAAAATAATTCTCTGATTTTTTTGGCGGGGCGGGGGGGGAGTACTGGGGATCAAACTCGGGACCTTGTCCTTGGAAGGCAGGTGGTAGCACCGCTGAGCTATATCTCCAGGCCTCTGATTGATTTTTAAAATCTTTTATCTCTTAGATTTAGGAATGGAGTAGGCCAGACATCAGCATTAACCTTAGAAGGTCCCACATGGTTCATTGCCTGTATGTTTCACCCTTTCCCAGGTGGTCAGAGGGTTGGGTCTGCAATGGCTTGGAGCAGACATCAGTCCAAGGAAGTACTGTAACTCATTGTCTTCATTTGCTGCTTGTCAGAAATGTTTGTATTAGTTGAAAGAACTTTAGCTTCACCTTTTCTAGTCTTATTGTTTTGGTTTGTTTGTTTTTTGGTACCGGGGATCGAACTTGGGTCCTTGCGCTTGCGAGGCAGGCAGCGGAACCACTGAGCTAAATCCCTGGCCCTTATTGTTTTGGTTTGTGGCTAGCACTTCAACTTGGTGATCGGCAGGCCTGGAGCCTACAGAGCCATGTCAGGGGCCTAGTATCCAGCTTCTGTTTCTGTTTTTTTTTTCTTTTTTTCCCCAGTACTGGGAATCGAACTCAGGACCTTTTGCTTACCAGGGAGGCGTGGCGCCACTGAGCTACATCCCCGGCCCTCCAGCTTATGTTTCAAACTTCATTTTAGGCTATAACCTGAGCACCCGAATTATACAAGGCAAATAGCATGGTGTATAAAAACAGGCTTCAGGCCAGGGATTTAGCTCAGTGCCACTGTGCCTACCTCATAAGTGTAAGGTCCTGAGTTTGATCCCTGGTACTGGAAAAAAAAACCAAAAAACCAAAACCAGGCTTGGAGTCAGATGGACTTGGATTTGAATCTCTACTGATGTGATTTACTGTTTTGAGACTTTGGACATATTACTTAAGCCCTCTGAACTTGAGCTCCCTCATCTGTGACATGGAGACCACAATACCTCCTAGGGCTGCTGTGGGGAGTCTGGGCATTGTTAGCACAGGGCCTGGGATACAGCAAGTATATGGGGCTCTGCTTGCTGTTGGTGTCAGTGTGTTGGTTGTCACTGTGCTGTGTGGACTGGTGGTACCCACGTGGTGCACTCAAGATTCTGTGTGTTCTTTCAGATCACCAGGAGGAGGAGGAGGGTGGAGATGTGGATATCAGTGCAGGACGTTTTGTCCGCTATCAGTTCACACCAGCATTTCTCCGCCTCCGGACAGTTGGTGCTACGTGAGTACCATTATTTCTTGTGGGAGAACATTCTGCTTGTTCACAGCAGAGGCTGGGTTTAGGGTTGGCTTTGGAAGAGAGAGGAGGCAAAGTAGGGCTCACAGAGGTTTATTTTGCAGAGTGGAGTTCACAGTAGGAGACAAACCTGTGTCAAACTTCCGGATGATTGAACGGCACTATTTCCGGGAACGCCTGCTGAAAAACTTTGACTTTGATTTTGGCTTCTGCATCCCCAGCAGTAGGAACACTTGTGAACATATCTATGAGTTTCCCCAGCTTTCAGAGGATGTCAGTATGTATTCCCTAACTCTCACAGCATTTTAGATTCTGAGCTGCAAGGAATGAATCAATCCTTCTCCCTACTCCCCTTTCTTTGTGCTGGAGGTGGAACCCAGGGCCCTATATATGCTGGGCAAGTATATACTGAGCCGAATCTCCAGCCCTAAGGAATGAACCTTGAACCTCATCTGATGGCTTCATCTTGGAGAGGAGGGCAGCATTGACATGATGAGTATCTGGTCATCTGACCTAAGGCTTCTCATTTCCTCCTGCTCTGTCTTTTTGTTTCAGACTCTTAATTCTGCCTATATGGGAGCAGAGAAGGTTGTAAAAATATAGGGCATTATCATTAGACACCTGTCATGGGAAAGGGCGTGGCTGAGGGGGATAAAGGAGGCCTGGGATCTTGCCTGGGAGTCTGACTAGATAAGAGCTTCCAGTGTTAGTAATGGCTTCCATTATGTCCTAGTCATTGGCCCTGTACTTTTTCCTTAATCAGAGCCAGGTGTGAAATGGCAGGCTGAACAGAAGCAAAAGCCTGAGGACTTTCCTTTCTCTTTCTCTGCAGGATAAAGGGTTTGTATACTGTTACAATCAACCTAGCAGCCAGGTGTGGTGGGTCACTCCTATAATCTCGCACTTGGAAGGCAGAAACAGGAGGATTGCTGCAAATTTGAGGCCAGCCTGAACAACATATCGAGACCTTGTTTCAAAAAAAAAAAAAAAATCGTCAACCTGGGACCTAGGGATCTTTTGCAGGTTTTGTGGCAATAGAAAGGAGGTAGTGGATGCATGGTCTTAGGGAGCGGAGCCCCAGCTGGGGAAGGCTCTCTAGTGAAGAAGGCTGGCATGTAACCCAGAAAAGGGAAGGTAGGGACTGGGCTAGGGAAAAGAAACAGGCTTTATTAGTTTCTGGAACTTGTAGCTAGCTAGCTGCAGTTAGCATCCTCTGCTTGTAATTTGGGAACGCTGCTTCAGAACATTTATGCACATGAGAATGGAATCCTGTAAATAATGGTGACCTTTAACTGTGTGGAAGGATGTTTTCTCAGAATCCCAAGTCCTTAACAGATTGCATACCCTGAAAATCAGGTACTCTACTCCTATGACAGTACTGTTCCCAGATAAAATGAGGATGGGGCAGTGTTCATGACAGCAGCAACTCTGGCTCGAGCCAAGTTGGGCAGGAATTTGAAGATGCTTTCAAGAAAAGATCATGGATAGCATTATAAGTTATACCTATGAAGCCAAATAAACTAAGTGATTTTGGAGATCAGTCATTTACATGTAAACTAAATTGCTTTGGCCTGGATGGATTCAAAGAACTTTTATTTTATATTATTATTTTGCTTTTTTGAGACAGAGTCTAGCTGTGTAGTCCAGGTTGGCCTTGAACTTGTTATGTAGCCCAGGCTGGCCTTGAACTTGTGGAGATCCTCCTGCTTCAGCCTCTCAAGTGCTGGAATTACAGGCATATGTTACCACACCTGACCTTCAAAGAACTTAAAAGTGTCACCTTTTGAAAATTGTAGTGCTCTAGGCAACGCAAGAGGGCATGTAATCATTAAAACTGGTCAGAGGTAATGACTGTTACTTACCTTAACAGTATGGTAAAGGGTCTGGGCAACTATCTGAACAAACACAGAACTTAAATTTAGATCCCAAGGCAAGCAGACCTCTGACTAGATCACTTGCCGGTTGCTCCTTGCCCTTTAATTTCTTAGGATTCCCTTGGCTGTCAGGGGTGCTTGTAGGAAGCGGGCACAGTGGGGTCTAGCTTTCTGGATTTACACCAACATGGCTAGCAGTGAGCAGCAGACCAGAAGCCAGGGCTAGCTTGGTCAGCCAAGAGCACTGAGTAAATAGAAGCAGCTGTGGTCCATGCCGGCAAGAAGACAAGTATATTTCCCATGGGACCAATGGGAAGGACCAGGTGTGGGATGACCAAGGAGCTGGCTGCATCCTTAGGTGGAGTGAACATCATGCTCACTTCGGGGCCACAGTGGTCTCCCCAGTTCTCAGGGCTGGCTCCCTGGGTTTCAGCTCATTACTTGGCAGAGCATACTCTCATTTTCCAGAAGAGCTCACTTGGAAATTTGAGAGGGAATTCTCAGTGTTTTCCCACCTAACTGTGGGATAGGCTCATGTATAATTCTTGGCTTTTTTTTTCCTTCTGCTGACTTGCAGTTCGTCTGATGATTGAAAACCCTTATGAGACCCGCTCTGACAGCTTCTACTTCGTTGACAACAAGCTGATAATGCACAACAAGGCTGATTATGCCTATAATGGAGGCCAGTAACTGCTGCAGAAGTGGACAAAGGAGTTGCTTTGCTAGGGCCTTGTGCTCCTAGCACATGGAGGAGATTGAAGCTGCTGTTTGTCAACAGACATCTGGAAGCTATCCAGGAGGCGGAGGCTGGGGTGGCAGTTTCCTGTGCTCCAGGGAGGTGCCAAGCAGTGTTGTGTTTTCTTCCTTTTTTTCTTGTCCCTTAGGTCACAGAGGTATCATAGTAAAGTAGAAGATTAGGGTAAGGCTCCTGCAATCCACATTAAAAAGAAAGTTTATTTTCATGTAGTTCTAGCTGTCTGCAGGTTATGCTGATGAGTCTCAGTCTCTCCAGCTCAGGTGTGTCCGGGTGAGGGCTGTGGCTGCCACCTGCATCTTAGTGTTCCTTCTCGACCAGGAACCTTCCTGAGGTTCCTGAATGCTGTGAGTAGCTGAAAGGTTGGCCTCTCCTGGGTGCCTCCTCTTCTCCCTTCTGGTGTTGCCCATAACCCCGCCTGCCCCAGCCCCCACCCACACATAGTCCTAAACCAACTGGAAAAAACTTGGTGCTGAGGGCTGAGGTACCAGGAATGGGGGATCCTGCCAGACTATAGAGGACCCATTTCTTGGTGAGCCTGTTATCTGTCTGACTTCAGGATCCTCCGCCAGTCCTCCTGGGGATAGACCAAGGTTTTAACCTGGCAGTGCCTTCCTGTTCTTATTCTGGGGGACAGATGAGCTCGCTCTCCTACTTTGTCCTCCTGGAGTAGAATATGTCACTTTTGCTCATGGAACATACTATCTTTCAAGGCCAGAGCAGGGCTCTTGTATTTTGATTTTTTTCTCCAGACTCCTATAGAGGAGTTTATACAAAATGTGAGTGGTGTTTTCAGCACATGTAATGTGTGGTTAGACTTTTGATAGTATTGATCAGCCTCCTGGGGCTAATCTGGCTCATGTTAGGGGAGGTATAGTTACAAAGCAGCACTCTGTACAGCATAGCCTGAAGAATTGGCTTCTGATGGGGATTTGCCTCCTGAACTCTGTGGTTCTTACTTAGGAGTTTTCCTGTTTGCTTTCTAATGAAGTAGTTTCTGGAACCATCTGGGAAGCCCGACCTAAGTAATTCATATTCAGATCCTTTAAGCTGCTAGTTGGGATTATTTGGGGTGGAAAGGGTGAGATAGGTTGAGGTAGCCTATCAGAGTGATGTGTTCTCAAATCAGCTCCCTAGTGCTCCCTGTGGGCTGCTTGTGTCCACAGGCCCTTACGGGATGGGCTCCCACCTCAGCTGCCTCTGGTTGTCTCTGTGGATGGCTTTAGGTGCTTAGGCCAGACTCCAGGACCTCTCTGTGGCCAGGGTGCACTTAGCATTAATAGAAAGGTGTCAGTAGCATGGGGGACCAGGAGTGTAGTAAGGTGCTGTGAGGCCTCACTGTATTTGTGACAGGAGCTGTGTCCAAGGCTTTTAGAGGAAGGCTGTGTGTGGCCAGGGAAGGAAGGGCCAGCACTGTGCCACAGAAGCACAAGTGCATTCTTCAGCCAGTGTTCCTTCCTGTTGGGCTTCTAGAGTGGCCTTGACCCTCAGCCTGTGCTTTGTGCCAGTCCAAAGAATTGGTGGTGCCGTCTGCTGGCTGCTTTCTCGATGAGTGAGTGTCCTGAGTGCTGGCACTGGGTCCCCCTGCCGAGGTGGGGAGGGAATGTGTGCCCTGCCACATGGGCGCCTTATCACCACACTGGTGAGTTTCAGTTGGGGTCAACTCCAAATCCAGGTGCCTTAAGTATGGCTTTTTCCCATATGCTGCTGGGGAAAGCTGTTGCTGTTATTTCTTCCTCCTCACCTGTGGACAGATATCAGCACCCACCATCTCCCTACCTTCTTCTCTTTCTCACTGTGACTCCTTTAGTGAGATTACCTATTCTTCTCAAGCTTCAAATGTTCCTTCTTCTGTGACAGAAGCCCAATTGGGAGTGCTTCTGTTGTCCAAAATCTAAACATCACCTAGGGTGTACATTCTGGAGCTGCCCAGCGCTCTGCTCAGTGGAGCCTGTTTTGAAAATTGGGCCAGGAAAGACAGTTACATGGGCACTAGTGGGCTGTCTCTTACCTACAGTGTTAGCTTTTGGTGGCAAAGCACCCAGGAGGTGAAGGAGCTGGGCACTTCAGCTCAAGGTAGCCCCTTCCCTTCCCTGCTAACTTGCTTACTCTCACTGGAGACCGTTTTGAGGCCTGGTGTTCAGTTGTAGCCAGCAGGGTGGGATTTGCTGTCCTCTGCCTTTGAAGGTACAGTGTTCTGTGTCTAGCTGCACCAGAAATCTCGAGAAGCATTACCATTTTGGGTGTTAGCTGGAATGAATTTAAAACTGGAGCTTCCAGCTGGGAAGCCTGGTGGCACATGCCTGTAATCCCAGCACTCTGGGAGGCTGAGGCAGGAGGATTGCCACAAGTTTGAGGCCAGCCTGGGCTATATAGTGAGTTCAAGCCCAGCTTGAACTGCAGGGAAAGACCCTGTCTCAAAAAATAAAACAATTCCAGCTTCCATGCCTGCATCGAGGAGAGGATTGGAAGTCATATTTCCTCTGAAAGTAACTGAACCATCAGAAGTTGAGTCAGGAGGTGTGCTATTAAGAAATCTTTATTATTGATAGCAGTTACCTGCTATCATCCAGCTCCTTGTGTGGTGAGACCATTCTTTGTGTCAAAGCAGGCATCCAAGAGGCAGCTCCTGGAGGGAGCTCATTGCAGCAGCCAGGCCAACCTATCTAGGGTGAGGCCCTGCCTCCTCCTTTCTCCTGGATCCTCTATCTTGGACTCCCTTAGAGGGCCTCTGCTTTCTCTGTGGCCTTTGGGTTAAGCTGCCCTTCTAGCCTCTCCAAAGAAGATCCTGGCTTATTTCATTTTAATTTCTAAAGTATAAACATAGGAAGTAATGACTAGAAGTAGTTGGGGCTAAAATAGGCTGTCGTCTCATTCTGTGTTAGCTCAGAGCTGTTGCAGAGAAAGCATTCCTCAGGGGCTCGGACTTTCTGAAGACGTCTCAGGCTTTGGGAATCTGATTTCTAACACCGAGGGACAGTGATTGAAGATGCCTGGGGGTGACCATAGACTGGCGTTGACTGGACAAACTTCAACGTATTTTTTCAGTTGGAGTGGAAACCATTTCTAGACTGGATGTAATAAGCTGTGAGTCCTACCTTAGTTGATCCTGCCTCCCTTGTTGGGGTCCCAAGTACCCCCTGTTTTTTTCCTCTGTAAAGTCACTTTCCTCTGGTGGCCAGTGCCACCATGCCATCGGTGAGGTTTGGGAATGGGGAAAAATCTGTCCTAAAAATCACAGCACAGGCTCCTTGGTTTGTACCTGGGGGGGAAGCCTAATTGTTGAACCTTTGTGTTATTCACATTCCTTGTTACAGAATATCTTAGCGACAAGATGGATCTAGTGGAGGTGGATTTAACCTCTTGTTTTACAAAGGATCACGTGAAGTCATTGAAGTTGCGAAAGTCTATTTTTTCCTTATAAATCTATTTTTCACAGAATATAAGAAACTCAATGACCTGACCTGTCCTTCTTCCTCACTTCACCTGAGATCCTCATTCCAGTTTGTACTGTCTTTGTGTCCAAAGTAAACTAGGTGACTTATTTGTATAAAATGTTATTTTGCCACAGGAGACAGTAATAAAAGAAAGATTTTTCACACTATGCCTACCCTGTCTTGTTTCGTGACTGGGGCCCTGGCATTGCAGGAGTGGGGTGGGAATGGACTCCCCATTTCTCCTCTCTTGGGTATTTCGTGGCCTTTCTGTTGAATGAGCAGAGCTGATTGCTAGGGTGACTGAGGAATATTTTATTTTGTTTCGTTGTTTTCAGACAGGGTAGAAAACTATGTAGTTTAGGCTGCTCTTGAACTTACTACGCTGGCCCTCCCCCTCCCCTCCACCCCTCCTCCTCCACCTGCTCTTCTTCCTTGAGAGCCATCGGCCCCTGCATGTACACACCCGAGGGCCACCAGAAGTGATGCTCGACAGGGCCTCCATACATCCCCACACATCCCTGGTGCGCGTTCGGGCGACGTGGCTCCGAGTTCACCATAAAATGGACAACTGGGGGACCCCTAGAAAGAAAAGCAGGGCGCCACTCACCTGCCGCCGTCCAGCTCCCACTGCAGCCGAGAGAAACAAGTTAGCCTGTGCAAGCGGGAGGAGCAGGAGGAAAATATATTTTTTTCTAAAAAAGAAAGTAAACAGTCGCCCCCTTCCCCGTAGGGAGGAGGAAAGAGCCCCTATTTCGGAAAGTTAGCTTTTCCTGCTGATAGACCGCCCCCGGCCTTTCGTGGCTCAGGGATCTGGGCTCCAGCGCGCAGCCCCTGTCCCGGAGCGAAGCTATGGCAGCAGTGTCTTCTTCCACCCACTAGAATCCGATGGGTGGGCGGTGAGTCGGGCTTCCATCACAGACTAGAGCTAGCAAGATGGAGGAGGAGGAGGAGGAATGGTAGTACACACCAGCAATCCCAGCCAGCTCTGAGGGCAAAGGAGCAGGGAAGACAGCGGGAATGAGACAGACGATGCTCTTCTGAACCTCCAGTGTGCCCCAGGATCACTGAGGTCAGCACAGGATTTGTGGTTGACATGTATACAAGGCTCACAGGTAGCATCTAGGAGGAAGTGGATACTCTCTTAGGGCAGCTCTGGCCTCTTAAACTCCACAGGAGCAGGTCCTGAGCTGCTGGAGGATGATTTGCTGGCTCATTTAGCAGCTGCATGTGCAGAAGCCTAGACAGAGGATGAGGTGACCCTAGAGGGCAGCTTCCTCCTAAGTCTGGGCTCGTGAGAGGCCAGGAGGCCAGGGTTAGAGGCCAGCTTGCGCGTGTGGTTTGAGGCAACCTTGCTTGTCATGACCCCGGATCCCCCATTGTGTGCTGTGGTGCTTGGGGCTCCCTCTTCCCATTAAAGAGATGCTCAGTGCCTGAAAGGCAGTTATAACATCTGCCTTCCCAGCCCTCTGGTGTAGCTGAAACTGCCTACATCGCTGAGCCTGAGCTTTGGTCAGGCACCTTTGAAAAGTGCTGTCTGTTGTGCTGGATTTGAATCATAGCACTGGGTATGTGGGTGGCTGTGGCAGAGGCAGCGGCAATGGAAGTCCCAGAAGGGAAAAGAGCCTGGGTGACATTAGAGACCACCTGGGAGCTGTCATGGTTCCCTGGGCTCATATTTGTGAATAAGGACCTCCAAGGGCTGGATGTGCTGTGCTGCTCGAGGCTAGAGTAGAGGGTGGGGCCAGTCCTGGAGCTGCAGCTGCCAGGGCTTCGAAATGGAGGCCACTAGGATAGGTGGCTGCTCCATGCTGCTGCCTGTGCCTATCAATGGCCCCCGGTGTGGGTGGCTTTCTAGAGGCAGAGTTAATGTGATGTTTCCCTTGTGTGGCCTGGTTTAATGGTTCCCTTGTATGGCTAGAGTTCAATGTGGGCAGGGTGGAGGTTGTGGCTGTGCTGTCACAATAGCCTGTGCAGAGGGGAAGGAGTTCCCACTGGAGCCAATGGGAGGCCCCAGGAGGAGAGGATCAAGGTGCAGGTGTGGTATCCATAGGGATGACCCTGATGTCAGACCCCGATGTATCCATAGGGGTGACCCCTAACTGGGGAGCAGAGCCTTGGGCAGAAGCAAAGGTCGAAAGACTTTGGAAGAACGAGAACAGGGTGCCAGGAGGTACTCCGAGAGATCTGGCACCTGCTGGTGCTCTCTTAGAGGGCCTTGCACTCAAAGGGCCTGGGTCCTGCCCATTCTTAGTGCGCCCCCAGGTGTGTTTCCCCTTTTCCTTCCTGTGAGGAAAGCGCTCCCCAACTGACAGCCCAGGCAAGGCAGGAGTCTTGCCTCTCCTCATGCCGTCCTTGCCAGCAGCAGGAACAGGTGTCAGCGAGGAGCTGGGGGCAGCATCTGTGGCGAGTGAGGAGGGGACTGGAAGGGGCTGTGAGCTCAAGAGGGGAGCAGCTGACCTGTGCTTCCTCTTAGGCCCCAGCTGCACTGAGGTGGCCACAGCAGCAGATGCCAGGGGGGTCCCCTGAGACCTTGGAGTCCTGCTTCTTTCTGTTCTTAATTCTTCCCTGCATTCCTGTTGGGCACTGGAGGGACAGAAGGTGGAGGAGCAGTCACTGGGGCAGGCAAGGGAGGAGGGCAGGAAGGCTGTGTGGTGTTGCTGACCTTGGTGGCCTGCGACTCCCCCATCAGAATGCTGTTTATATCCCTCAATGCTGCCTCCTTCTCCCGAGCTATGTCTTCAGGGGTTACCTGATAGCTTAGTTTGGGAGGTGGTGGCAGCATCAGAGGGACCCCTTGCCTATGCCTCAGAAGGGGAATCTTGCATTTTCCTAGCCCAGAACCCTCCACTGTGGGCACGCAGTTACTCCTTGTTTCTGCCTGCCTTGATGTCATGTCTGCCACTTTCTGGTTTCCAGTGTTCTGGGAAACTTCTGGGACTGAACACGAATACTGGAAGCCATTCTCCCTTGGATCTTTGGAGGGTCCCAGAAGTGGCCTGGTGTGAATTGTGGCTGGACCCCTCCTTCTCAGTCCTGGTAACCCTCCAGTGGAGCTGTAGGAGCTGGTGATGGTATTTTGCCCAATCAAGGAGCTCACACAGGAGGGCTGGGAGCGAGGGTCAGGTTTATCTCTGGAGCTCTTCCTGCAGAGGTTTCTAGGTAGAGGCCCAGGCCTTGGGACAAAAGGAATCAGGCCTTGCTGGCCTTCAAGAGGCCTAAATGCAGACGGCAGCTTCCCAGGACGGTAGGTGCCCCTCCTGTGCTGAGCCTGTTGCTCCATGAGCCAAAGCGCCAGTCTGCTCAGTACTGGGGGATGAGCTACAGGGTATCTGAAAACCGCCTGCAGAGAGCACCAGCTTCCTCTGAAGACAGCCTGCTGGTTGAGGCAGACAAGGGTCTGCCCGGAACAGGAAGTGTTTTGGACACTCTTTCCCAAAGCTGATGTGAAGCCCAGAATGCTTGTGGGATGTCTAGAAGTGGATCCACGAGCAAAGGTGGCTAAGCGGGATGCACTCACCTAGGGTTCTTGGGCAGGTGTGGTGAGGGGCCCGGGAGATGAGCCCCAGGGGCAAGTCCCCCCCCCCCCATGGGGAGGGGCGGTTTGCAGGGCTGAGGGGCCAAGCTAGCCCAGGGAACTGCCCACCAGAGCTGTCGGGGAGCGTGGGATACTTCTTTCTCAAAAACAGGCGGAGTGGTCCTCTTGGAGCGGCCAACTGGCTCACAGTCTCAACCGCAGTGAAACTTTGTGGCTGGGACACAGCATTGGAGGGCGAGAGGGAAGCAGGCGCACAAATGGTTAAAAACAGCGTGGGTGTTTGCATCGTTTTTGCAGTTAAGCGGGGAGGAAAGTCCCTCTGCCACTCCTGAGGAAGATAGGTACAGGAGCCCAACATGCTGCAGGTACTTTGCCGCCCAGATCAGTGCTGCTCTGGTCGGCAAAGACAAAAGCCCCCAGTTTACCGCACTTTTTATTCAGTACATCCGGAGAAACAAATGTAACAAATGACTTGCAGAGAGTTCAGTATATCAGTGTAAACAAGATGTAACAATCCAAGAACAATGAGGAATTGAGTAGATGAAGATTTTGTTCCTCCCAGAATGTCTTCAGCTGGTGTAATCTTGTCCTGGAGAATCACAGCATCACCAGATCATTGAGGTCTCAATTGTGACCGGAGGCCAAAATGGAATTATGTCTCGGAATTCCACAGCTGGGCTGTAGGCAGGAGAACTCAATGATTTTTCCCTAAATTATGTAGCATTGCTCCCGACAGGTGTTCGCAGGCACTTCCTTCCCTTACCCCAGGCTTTTACAACCAGTCTGAGTCTGTTTCTGTTTGCAAACTTTTATACTTTTTTAGGGGACGGAAGTATTAGGGATTGAACCCGAGGCCTCACCCTGAGCTATATCCCCAGCCCTTTTTATTTTTTGTCTTGAGGTAGGGTCTGGCTAAATTTTTCAGAGTGGCCTTGTAAGACCGAGGGCCTTACCAAACGCTCCGAGGAGCTGAAGTGGAGCACACCCGGGGATCCCAGCGGTGCCTCCAGAATGTAAGACCAAAGGCCTTACCAAACGCT